GCCTTGGCTCCCAGCAGCATGAAGATCAAGGTTGTTGCCCCACCAGAGAGAAAATACAGTGTCTGGATTGGAGGATCAATTCTTGCATCTCTCAGCACTTTCCAACAGGTAAATCTGGTTTGCGAAAATTTGTTGTCAATCCAGTTAAATCAACTATAGTTCTCATGGAGATTTAAAAACTCACTTGAAAAATATTATTAAGTTATATTTGACATGCTTTCTTCGTGATACAGATGTGGATTTCAAAGGGTGAATATGATGAGTCTGGTCCATCTATTGTCCACAGAAAGTGCTTCTAAGGTGCAATTATCTGCCTTCAGGGGAAGTTCACTTTTTACCTCTTTAGTTGGCTTTTCTTGTTATGTTTCAAGCGAATTTGGTCGAGTTGACGTCGAGAAGTTTTGAAGTGGGGCTGCGCAAAGATGGTATAATTTGATTCAGATATATGGTCAATTTTCAACTCATGGGGCTAATGTTCTTGTTAATTTATGATTGAGAAGAATGCAATGACCTTTTCTTTCTTGGTGCATTGTGCTTTAGATGTGTCGTTAATAGGCCATATTTGTAGTTTGGGAGTTGTGATTGTAATGTTTCTTGCTTAACCCTTTCCTTTCCTGTGTATTTCTTTCGAAGTTCGTCTCGGGAACAGTATTGTTAATATCTGTTTTATAAGAATTTGCATCGGCTATATCAAATACTGGCTTGAGTATTTAGTGAATTAAATTGAATATGATCATAAGAATAATAAAATTGTCAAATGTCTTCCTTACTTTTGTTTGGTCCTAGTTCACGTGCTAAATATGTCTAGAAAATTAATAAAGCAACGTGGTTCAGAAGAAACGTTTTGTCAAACTCTTGCTTTGCACATATTTGATTAAAATCTGATGGACAGCTTTGATGTACAATGCAACATGCGAAGATGTCTTTGGAGCAGTGTCGTCTACTTGTGAATTTGAGGTGGTATAACTTAAAAATGTAGTAATGTTCATTCACATGCTAACGTTGACAGACGAAATATGTGATTATAGTTGGTGTATGGTGACTTCTAGTTTTGGATTTAGGGATATTGAGAATCTTGCTTGTGTCTGGTTAGTATATTCAATTATGGTGTAAAATATATCTAAATTGTGATTTAGGCCCCTATTTGATTTTTTTTTTGTTTTTTTTATCGTTATTTCACTATTTTAGTTGTCATTTTTTTACTTCTACACGTGTAATTCACTTTTCTCTCTATAGTTTTAATCAATTTTCATAATCACTATTGAACAGGTCCAAATATTCAGATTTGTATTTTTCAGGACAAAATATAAAGTAGTAAAAAATATAAAGTGAATTTAGATCTGTTAGGATGTAAAAGCGATTTTGAAAATATTACTTTACACTCAATTTTACATTACTATTGGACATGCTCTCGGTTTGGTAAAGTTGGAGTACGAGAAGCAATGATGGAGTTAGGATTCATAATCAGTGGGGTATAATTTAATTACAAGAAATTCAAACACAAAATATAATAATATATTAAAAAATAAAAATTCATATAAATTTTTTTTTTCAGGCTCAAGTGGGGGCCTGGGACCCCACTATCCTCCACCTGCCTCCGCCACTTCCGACAAAGTCCTGGCTCGGTATGGTTGCACAAAGAAAAGTTGAATTTACGTGGATCTCGCGTGAATAAAATAATTCCAACGTATGGTCTCCACACCCCTATTGTGAGTGTATGTAAAGCATTAGGTAAAAAAAATTAGATACATCTAGCATGGACCGAGGAAAGAAGAAAGAAGGTCTAATCCCAACCTTGAGGGCTCTCCACCGCCCTGTCTTTGGAGCATTGTGAGAGAGGTAAATCGCAGAATGCGCCTCAACAAGCCAGAGAACAAGATTTTATCCGTACACTGGTGCCCACAAAGAGTCCAATTTCATATATTAGAAATCGAACTCTCACACTACGACTGCCAACAAGGCTTGAGACTACCCCACTTTTGTCCTATGCACCACTGGTTTACACATGATCTTGTTGAAGTTGAAATAGATCATTTATTTTTTCCCATAAAATTTCTAAACGACCTTGTGTTACCATTAAGGATGTATTTGATTGATTTTATTTTCAACGAAAAATGTCTATTCTCCACTCGAAGTCTTATTTTTTGGATGTTTGATTGACATTTTTTTTTATGAAAATATTTTCCTATAATTAGTCACATGTCCATATTTTCTTTAAGGAAAACATTCTCTCTAGGAGAGAGATATTTTTATTTTTCAAGCAATTCGCTTTCTTTCTATTTCTCTCATCTACTAACCAATAAAAGATAGACACGTGTAAGATTTGGTTAGTTGTTAGGTTGAACATTGAACTAATCAAATACATTTAATTAACAATTTTCATGCAAATTTTATACTTACAATCAAACACGCTCAAATCTTTTCCAAGTGGTGGACAACGTTCAACAAAAAAAGATTTTTTTTTTCTTTATTTGGTTTTAGAAGAAGAATGTAAAGCAGAAGAAAAGAAAAGGAGCAAAGTAAAAATGGATGACTCAATAGAGAAAATCAATACCACTAATCAAGAAGACATCTTTTCCTTTATTCTTTTTGAGTACAATTGCTTCAAGTGCACAATGAAAGTGGCACTTCAGTTCTAAAGGTTTGGTCTTATTGAGTTAATGCCATTTTATAATACTAGTTCTTGTAAATAATTATGGTATTGTTTCGCGCGGGTTAGTCACTAACAATTAAAAAGGGATCAGACGATTGTGTAAGAGACAAACCTCTTGAGACAAAGTCCCAAAAAGGGGCTTTTTTATTGGCGATGACTTTACAATTGGAAAATAAAAATAGAATGCCTCCAAGGGGCGCAAGCACACGAGTTACTGTGAAAGAAGTATTTAAATCTAAACTAAGAAATTTAAGTTACATGTTATCTGTTCGAGAGTTTTTTATTCGGGGTCTTTTGCTCTATATCTTTTCTTCCTTTTATACTCCCTGGACGATCTCTTTGTGATCAACTGACTAAAAACTACTTAATCGTTCTATAACTGCCCACTTTTCTCGTAATGGCCAACTTGTCATGGAACTGCCTTTTCTAACTGCTGCCATTACTCTTTGTCGTTCAACTGTCTTTAATTGAATTCCTTGAATCGTGGAACGTGATAGGGCTGCTTAATAACTGCTTTGATAACTGCGCTTCTTGATAACTATAACACTTCATGTTTGCTAAGACCTTGGGCGACTCAAAGGTTTGGGCGAGAATAGAGTAGCAGCTCTGGGCGATTGCATGGCATTCCATTCGCTCAGATCCTGGGCGACTTGCAAGTTTGGGAGATGGTGTTATCGCGTTCATGGGCCTCCCTATTTGGGCTTTCATCATGAATTGTCTGATTGGGTTTCGTTCTTTGGGCTATCTGATTTGGGGATCCTCCAATTGGGCTTCATTCCTTGGACCGTTCGATTTGGGCTGAATTTTTATGTGTCAACAATTACCCCCCAATATGGTAGAATTAATACAATTATTAAATTTTGCCAAATTCACTTTTGTGTTTCCAGCAACATTCAAAATTTTCAAGAATTTCAATCATTGTTTTCTTCCATAGCTTGAAAAGGTGTGACGTTTTGTAAACTCTTATAACCCCCCAAATACGCCATTTCACTGCACCATTAAATCATGCCTCACTTTTTTCGCGCTTCTCTCTCACAATTTTACTGTTCATCTCTTTGCTTCCCTGCTATGTAACTCCAAAAAACTCCATTTCGTCCCTAATGGCTACTTCACAATCTCAATCTGGCGACTCCTTTAGTTTTGAAGACTTTCAGAAACTCCTTAATCGTCCATACATAACTCCGAACTTTCTCGCACCTGCCAATGTCGAACTCAATGAGTTCTACCTAGGTCCTTTCTTCAACAATGCAGAGGCAGTCGAACAAGCGACGGTGCGCCAGCCGTTTCCTTGTACTCAAGGCCTTCCATTTCTAAACTCTCTGCCGCTGGGGCCACTTCGCGAAAGAGGTATTCGTACTTGGCCTAAATCTGATGTAGTTTTCCGTAGGTGGCATGCTCACTTTGTGGACCATGGTCCTACTAAGGCACTTTTTGATAATGCTTGGATTTCTGATTTGTTAGAAATCTCTCTTCAACCCCCTACTTTTGATTCAGCACTTTTTTCGATCGCTTTAAGTTTTTGGTCTTCTGAGTATAATACCTTTGTTTTCCCTCTTGGCCCCATGTCTATTACTTTAAGGGATGTTGGGGCCCTAGTGAATCTGCCACCTTTGGGCGATACCATTTTTCCTGGTATCTTGGTTTCTGGTGGCACCCCGAAGTTTGGTAAAAACCTTACCGAGTCTTATTCAAGCCTGCAAACCCTTCATAACCATTCGAGCGCTGAGCCTTCCCATACTGAGTGAGTGTCCTTTCTTCTGGTTTGGCTTTGTAAATATGTTTTGTATGTACCAAGCATAAGCCCTCCCTGAGCTATTTACCCATAGCGCACGAATTGACGCGTGGTAGGCCTCTGAATTTATGTTCTTTCTTTTTGGCTGCTCTCTATAGAGGCATAACTTCTCTTCAATCTCAATTGAAGAATGGTGCATCTCCCACTGGCAGTGGACCTCTTTGGTTCACTCAAATGTGCCTGAGATCCTATTTTCCATCGTTTGGTGCTCCATCATTTTCTCGTCCTTCTGCTAGCTGCTATGGGCTAGCCATTGAGCCCCTGGCTCCTGTAAATATGTCTAGAAGGGATATTTTTTCGTTCTTTTATTCTTTGGATTCAATCCCTTCCTTCTTTCCTTTTCCTCGCTTTTTAACTCCAGACTATGTGCATCCTCCCTCCACTATAGACAGGGCGAGCACCTCTCTGCTCATTTGGATCCAGTTTTTAACCGAGAGAGAGTTATTTCATAATATTTTGATTGGGACCAATGCCAAGGCTGGGGTAGAAATATATACTCCCCAATTTTTTGCTCGCCAACTTGGTTTCGGCCAAACCTGACCTGTTCCTCCTTGCTATTCAAGGAACTTAATAGACCGCTTCCATATCATTAATAAGGCGGAGGCAGAGGTTATAAATGCTCGCAATCTTCTTTTGACGAGCCATTTTTCATTAGCCCCCTTCAATTCTAGCCGTGTCATCCATCCCCTTTTTGAACAACTCTGGCCGTCAGTGAAGCGCAGATTATTTGCGACTGATGCCAATCGTGGCTTTCATTCACTGGACCAGCCAAGCATTTCTTTCCCTCCTCTTGTTTTAGTCACCCCTTTGTCCATCCGGAGTCCTTCTCCTCCTCGTCGCGCTAAACAGTCTGCTCGTCCATCTTCTTCTCTCCCTGCCAAGCCTACTGCAGCCAAAAGTGCCCCGAGCCGCAAACGGCCAGCCTCAGCATCTCCCATTCTGGAGAATGATGTTGATGATACCGCTCTTATCATCAGGAGGAAGGTTATTAAATTGGTTTACTCACAAGCATACTTTTCCATACTTGAAACTTTTCTGTGTGCTGATGGTTTATTTGGACTTCTCAGAAAAGTTCAGTCTCTCCTTTGAAGGCCTTGGTGTCAGCAGCTCCTGCTCCATCATCCTCCGCTGAGGCTGCTTCATCCAAACCAACTGATGAAGGAACTACGCTTAAAGAGATATCTTCAGTCCCAGAATCCTCACCACAACCAATGGATGAGTCACCTTCTTCCCAGGGCGTCGACCCCCCAAACATCGAAGCA